AAAAAAAAAAAAAAAAAAAAAAAAAAATGACAAGAGGGCTCAGTGATTAAAGGATCAGAAAGACCATTAGTAGGAACTGGTTAAGTATGATGCAATATGAGAGTTGCTTTAAAAAAGAGAGAGAACATTCTAGAAGCCCAGAGGAAAGTTTGATGAACACCGCCTGGTAGAATCAGGGACGGTTTCCGTAAGAGCGGACATTTGAGTAAGCACTGAAAAAGGAGGCAAAGAAAAAAAAAGAATCCAAGCAATGTTTCTAGTTTGGGTCAAAAGGCAACAAGGACAACTTTGGAAAGTACCGTGCAGAGACCAGGCAAATGTGCCTCGGTGGATAAGGAGCTGAGTGGGTGACGGGGGTGTGCAGGTCCCTGGAGGAGGGAACAGGGTCAAAAGGAAGGCATCACCTGAACCTACGCAAAGCCCTCCCCAAGGATGGCACCTGACGGCTGCAGCAGTGGTGAGAGCTGACAAACCCCACAAGGCACAGTTACCATCGTGTCCGGCTGTCCCCTTGGCCTTCAGAGCCCGTGTGCAGACGGGGGAAAAGCCCCGACCTCCGCTTGATGGGGCTCCGTGACTGGTTCTTCGCTGTTGCCATGGCCACCGGAGGCTGTCAAAGAAACCGCCAGAATGAGTGCTGACCACACCCCCAAACGCAGCTCTCCTTCCTCTCAGCCCCCTTTCTGGCCTCCAATAGGTCCTGTAATCCCCAGCTGGCCTGGAGGAGATCCCAGAAAACAGCGAGCCAGCCAGGAAGCCTGGGATCTAGTAATGGGATCTGGGACCCTAAGATTCAAGCCACCTGCAGCATGTTTTCCTGTGTTCTTAAGCCAAACCTCGTGGCCCCAGGTAACAATCTACCAAAGACCAGAATTCTTGGAGGAACATGGGGTTGGGGCCACCCTAAGGAGAGCCCTGCATATTTATAAGGACAGGATGACTCGGGGTCACAGACTGAGAACCACAAAGCTGAGAGCCTGGGGAGAGACCTGGTCCAGGCTCACGCTTTACCAACGAAAAAGCTGTGGAGCCGAGGGGCGAGGAGCGAGGAGACTCGGCCAAGGTCATAATAGCAAATCACCAGCAGGTGAGCACAAGAGCCCAGGGCTCCTGACTCTCCATCAGCTGCTCACAAAGAAATGGGTCCAAGCTGGTGTCACAATAATAAGACAGATCGGGAGCCGCAGGATCAGGTCCACACGCAGCCCTGGGCAAAGGGGGAGCCCCCCAAGAACATGGATCTGCTTCAGCCACACACAGGGGGACCATGGAGAGGTGGGAGACTGAGGAGGGGGAGACAAGAGCCTACAGCCAATCTCTAGAGCCCACCAGGCTTCTAACCCAGGCCCCAACTTCTGCCATCCACATGCTGTGCAACCTTGGGTAAGTGACAAAACTCTCTGGGCCTCAGTCTCTTCACCCACAGAATGAAGATAACTGCTCTGCCCTGCTCACTTCACAGACATTTTGGGAGGAACCAGATAATAGCTATGAAAATACTTGGTAAGTTAAATGAATTATGCAAGACCATTTAAAATACTAATCATTGGTATCATGGTGGATGTGTTCCACTATGAAAAGAAAAAAGAAAAGAAAAGAGGGGAAAGGAAAGGAAGAGAAGAGAAATAAAAAAAAAGAAAGAAAGAAAAGACTAGTCTATACAAATCCAAAGTCACTTTGCTTTTTAAAAGGACTGACTCGTTCCTTCCCTGGCCAGCCCCTGGTGTGAGCAGACCACACTCGAACCCACAGACCTGCCAGGCTCTTTCCTTGGGAACCGTCTACACAGAGACTAAGAGCTTCGACTTTGGATCAGGGAGACCTGCATTCAAATCTCAGCTCTTCAGCTAACCTGGGTGACCTGCAGCAAGTTACTTAAAACCTCTGGGCCTCCTTTTCCTCAAGGAGGAATTGAGAACAAACACATCAATACCTACCTCAGACAGCTGTCACGGGATCGGATGAGATAATGTCCGTGACTTAGCTCAGTGCCTGGTGCACAGCAAGTGGAGGGCAGCTACTGTTATCATTAATAATAACAAAGCAAGGACACCCTTCTCACAGTCACGGGTCCCAAGCTCCCAAGCAAAGAAACTCGCTTCAGGCCCATTTTGCAGGGTTGGCCTTCAGGAGGAGGCCCAGTTGTTGAGGAAACTCAGAGAATAGGACAACGGGAGGGCCTCTAGGCAGGGCCAGCCCCAGGTGCTGCCTGGGATGGAGGCTCCATTTCAGAGGGCAGGGCCTGGGCTCACCCCAAAAACAGCCTCAGTTTCCCTCTGTCATCACTGGTCTCATCACCTGGCCCAAGCCTCCCTGGGACCCATGTGCTGCCCCAGGGCCTGCGGCTCTCACCGAGAAGGTAGTCTTGGTGACCTCCATGCTGTTATGGGAGATGCCCCCACTGAGGCTGCCGGGGATGCCCCCGCCATGCTGCTTCTTCTGGCTGCTTACCATCGTCTCCATGGAGTGGCTGCGCACACGGATGGCCCTCTGTGGGGAGAGCAGGTGACATGGGCCTAAGGGTTGGAGTCTGGTCCCTCTAGATGACCCTGTCCCACTTGACAGGGTCTGCAGACACAGCCTTCAGCCTGTGTACACATATTCACACACACACATACACACACACACTCTCTCTCTCTCTCTCTCTCTCTCTCTCTCTCTCTCTCTCTCTCAGTGGCCCACACTACAGTCACTACAGTTTGCAAAGAATTTTCACATATTCCATCCTATGCTCTGGGAATGGGTGGCTCTTTGCAGGCAGAGGTGAGGGAGGACACCGGCCAGGGGGAATCTGAGGGGTCAGTGCCCCAGCTCCCAGCAAGGTGGACAAAGGCTGTTATCCTCATCTTACAGGTGAGGAAAGTGAGGTTTGGACAGCTCACTAAACCCAGGTGACCCTGGTCTAGTTACCACCTCTCCAAGCTATGGCTTCCTCATCTAAAATGGGAATGATGTGCTCCATGCAGGATCCCCCCATTTTTTTTTTTTTTTTTTTTTCGGTACGCGGGCCTCTCACTGTTGTGGGCTCTCCCATTGCGGAGCACAGGCTCCGGATGCGCAGGCTCAGCAGCCGTGGCTCAAGGGCCTAGTCGCTCTGCGGCATGTGGGATCTTCCCGGACCGGGGCACGAACCCGTGTCCCCTGCATCGGCAGGCGGACTCTCAACCACTGCGCCACCAGGGAAGCCC